ATTTTCATTAGAGATATTGGTCTGTCATTCTCCTTTTTTTGGTGGGGTGTTTGACCTTGGAATCAAGGTAATGCTGGGATCATAGAATGAGTTTGGACGTTTCCCTTTCATTTTTGTTCTTTGGAACAATTTCAGAAGAATACAAATTAATTCTTCTTTAACTGTTTGGTAGAACTCCCCTGGAAGCCATCTGGCCCTGGACTTTGCTTGTTCAGAGATTTTTGATTACAGATTCTATTTCTATGCTGGTTATGGCTCTGTTCAGATTTTCTCTTTCTTCCTATTTCAGTCTTGGTAGCTTATATGTTTCTAAGAATGCATGCATTTCTTCAAGATTATCCAGTTTGTTGGCATATAATGGCTTATAATATTCCCTTGTAATTGTTTGTATTTCTTCTGTGTTGGTTGTGATCTCTCCTCTTTCATTCATGATTTTATTTATTTTGGTCCTTTCTCTTTTCTTTTTGATAAGTCTGGCTAGGGGTTTATTGACCTTATTAATTCTTTCAAAGGACCACCTACTAGTTTCATTGAGCTGTTCTACTGTTTTTTTGCTTTGTTTTGTTTTCTATATCATTGATTTCTGCTCTAATATTTATTATTTCTCTTCTGTTGGATTTAGGCTTTATTTGCTGTTCTTTTTCCAGTTCCTTTAGGTGTAAATTTAGGTTGTACATTTGAGACTTTTCTTGTTTCTTGAGAAAGGGCTGTATTGCTATATAATTCACTCTGTATTGCTATATAATTCTCTCTTATGCCTTTTCTGTGCCCCAAAGATTTTGGACTGTCAGGTTTTCATTTTCATTTGCTTCCATGAATTTTTAAAATTCTTCTTTAATTTCCTGGTGACCCATTCATTCTTTAGTAGGATGCTCTTTAAGCACTATATATTTGTGTTCCTTCCAAATTTTTTCTTTTGATTGACTTCAAGTTTCATAGCATTGTGGTCTGAAAATATGCTTGGAATAATCTCAGTTTTTTGTACTGGGTGAGACCTGATTTGTGGCCCAGTATGTGATCTATTCTGGAGAATATTCCATGTGCACTTGAATAGAATGTGTATTCTGTTGCTTTAGGATGAAATGCTCTGAATATACCTGTTAAGTCCATCTGGTCCAGTGTATCATTCAAAGCCCTTGTTTCCTTCTTCATCTTTTGCTTACATGATCTGTCCATTGCTGTGAGTAGGCTGTTAAAATCCCCTAATATTATTGTATTATTATTAATGTGTTCTTTAATTTTGTTATTAATTGGTTTTTATATTTGGCTGCTCCCAAGTTAGGAGCATAAATATTTACAATTGTTAGATCTTTTTCTTGGATAGGCCCTTTTATTATGATATAGTGTCCTTCATTTCTTGTTACAGTCTTTGGTTTAAAATCTTGTTTGTCTGATGTAAGGATGGCTACTCCAGCTTTCTTTTGATGTCCATTGGCATGATAAATGGTTATCCACTCTCTCACTTTCAATCTGCAGGTGTCTTTGGCTCTAAAATGAATTTCTTGTAAGCAGCCTATAAATGGGTCTTTTTTTTTAAAATCCATTCTGATACCCTATATCTTTTGATTGGAGCATTTAGTCCATTTACATTTAGAGTAATTATTGAAAGATATGAATTTAGTGACGTTGTATTACCTGCAAAGTCTCTGTTGCTGTAGATTGTCTCTGTTCCTTTCTGGTCTTTGTTCATTTTGGTCTCTCTTTCCACTCAAAGCATCCCTTTTAATATTTCTTGCAGGGCTGGCTTAGTGTTCATGAATTACTCTAGTTTTTGTTTGTCTGGAAACTCTTTTTCTCTCCTATTCTGAATGACAGCCTTGCTGGATAAAGTATTCTTGGCTGTGTATTTTTCCCATTTAGCATGTTGAATATATCATGGCAACCCTTTCTGGCCTGCCAGGTCTCTGTGGACACATTTGCTGCCAGACTTATGTTTCTACTCTGGTAGGTTAAGGACCTCTTGTCCTGAGCTGCTTTTAGGATTTTCTCTTTATCTTTGAAATTTGCAGTTTCACTATTATATGTTGGGGTGTTGACCTATTTTTATTGATTTTGAGGGGGGTTCTCTGTGCCTCCTGGCCTTGAATGCCTGTTTTCCTCCCCAGATTAGGGATGTTCTCAGCTATAATTTGTTCAAATTAACCTGCTGTCCCTCTCCCCCACTGTTCATCTTTTGGGACCCCTATTATTCAGATACTATTTTGCTTTATGGAATCACTGATTTCTCGAAGTCTTCCTTTGTGATCCAGTAGTTGTCTTTATCTCTTCTTTTCAGCTTCCTTATTCTCCATCATTTTGTCTTCTATATCATTGACTCTCTCTTCTGCCTCATTTATCCTTGCTGTTAAAGCCCCCAGTTTTGACTGCATCTCAGTAATAGCATTTTTAATTTCAACCTGATTAGATTTTAGTTCCTTTATTTCTACACTAAGGGATTCTCTAGTGTCCTCTATGCTCTTATCAAGCCCAGCTAGTATCTTTATAATCATTGTTTTAAATTCTAGTTCAAACGTTTTATTTATATCCATATTGATTACATCCCTGGTGGTATTACCTTCTGTTCTTTCTTTATGGGAGAGTTTCTCCATCTAATCATTTGTCCAGAAAAGGAAGGAGGAAAGAAAAAATTAAAAAAAAAAAAAAAACAGCAGCAGCAAGAATAACAACTTCAGGAAATGTTTCTGGTGTAAGGTGTGTACACTCTGTTGTGTTTTGGCTTCCCACTGTTCCCCACAGTTTCCCACTGTTCCTTCCTCTACAGAGTTCTTCCTTGCTTGTAGTGGGGAGTGTTTGGACCTTTAAGTATGTGTGCTTTGATTTGTTTGTCAAGATAAGCCAGTAAAAGAAAAAGGAAAAGAAAAGAAGAAAAAACAAAAACAAAAACAAAAACCAAAAACAAAGCCTGATCCAAGACAAGAGAAAAGGAAATGGAACAAAAATGCAAACAAATGGACAGTTAAGTATATGCCTGATTCTAAAAAATAAGAAGGAAGGAAAGAAAAAAGAGTGGGGAAAGAAGAAAAGAGAGAGAGAGAAAAACATGCCTGATCCAAAAAATAAAAGGACACAAAACAACCAACAAATGAACAAAAGATTATAAGCCTGAAAGAAAAAGGAAAAAAATAAAGAGAAAAGAAAATAAAAGAAGAAAATATATATGTAAAATAAAGTATAAATAATAAAAAATAAGAAATAGAAAAATAAAAAATTTTAAAAATTTTAAAATAATTTAAAAAAGAGAAAAAAAGGAATAAACCCTGGTCCTATTTCCACTGGAAGCTGATGTTTTGGAGCTTTCTCTAATCAGTAGAATTGGTAAATGTGGGAGTCTGTGTTGGTTTTCTGAGTGGAGGACTGCTGGGCTGGCTCACAAGCTGACTTGCCCTTGTAAAGATGTCCCTGCCAGGCTGGGGGTGGTTGTGAGGGAGTGGGGGGTGGAGTTTAGTGTAGGGGGACTCCAGCCTCCACTGGAGGCACTGTGTTTCACTCTGAAATCAGACTGTGCTTGTGGGCGGAAGGAGGGAAGAGTTGGGGAAGAGGAAGAATATGGCATCACCCTGCCCTCTTGTCCCTGAGGAGTGGAACTCCTCACCACAGCTATTCAGGGGGCCGTCTTAGAAAAGCAATCTTCTGTGTTCCAGGCTTTTGTCCCTTCCCTACCCTTAACCTGTGCCTGGGCTGCTGGAGCACCTAGAGCCACAGATCTCCTGTATTTTATCTCTGACCTGTGTCTGGGATTTAAAACTCCATGGTTTTTTGTTTTTTTTTTTTTTTTTAAGATTTATTTATTTATTTATTTATTTATTTATTTGAGAGAGTGAGAAAGAGTACATGAGAGGGGGGAGGATCAGAGGGAGAAGCAGGCTCCCTGCTGAGCAGGGAGCCCCATGCGGACTCCATCCTGGGACTCCAGGATCATGACCTGAGCCGAAAGCAGTTGCTTAACCAACTGAGCTACCCAGGTGCCCCTCAAAACTCCAAGTTTTAAAGGGACTGGTAATGTGCAGGCCCACTCCCATCCTTGGTGGGAGATTCCAGGCATGCCCAGCACTGTCCCAACCCGGAAAAACCACCACACAGCGCGTGCATAGAGGCTGGAGTTTATTGAAATGCTCAGCGAAAAGCTGGAACCAGGTTATTGGCCATCTGCACTCGACTCAGTCTTCTATTCCTTTCTGTCCTAGAAGAGCAATTGCAGAGGCTTGAATCTATTGCAGTAGACAAGGAAAATGGGTGACCGGGTTATCTGCAATCTGCTTCAGTATCTGCTTTCTACTTAGTTCTGCAGCAGAAAAGCAGTCACTCAGCACGCATACAGAGGTTTAAGCCTATTGGCTTACGGTGAAAAGTTAAGAGGTTTTCTGCCCTCTGTGTGCACCTCTGATCCTGCTGCTGAACACTGCTCAATGGCTCTCTGGTTAGCCTTTTGTCCTTGGAGAGGCAGAATACACTCTTCCAAATGCTTTCTGGGAAGCGGAGCAATCTCTCCGCCATGCAATCCAGGAGATCTCCTCACCGCGGTTTATTATGTGGTCCGCACTTGCTGGGCTCTTTCTCCCTCTTCCTGACTTTGCTGCGTGAAAAATGTTCCCTCCCCTTCACAGTTGCTTGGCTTTCCTCTCCCCCAGTTAATGGCTCTGAATCTTGCCTCTGCCATGTTCTCTCCCACCAAATGTGCAGATTGTTTCCTTAATCCTCAGATCTCTTCCTAGTTGTTCAAAATAGTTGAATGTTGATATAGCTCTATTCAAAAGAACAGGCAAGTTCAGGGTCCCCCTACTACTCCGCCATCTTAACTCCTCCTATTTTAACTGTTTTTAAGTGCACAATTCCATGGCATTAAGTATATTCACCATATTGTGCAGCCATCACCATTATCTATTTCCAGAACTTTTTCACCTTCACAAACAAAACTGTGTACCTTTACATAATAACACCTCCTTACCAGCCCCCTCCCCCAGCCCTTGGTAACCTCTAGTCTACTTTTTGTTTCTATACAGGTGCTGATTTTATAGTGTCTCACCCCTTTACAGTGCCAGTTCAGTGACTTATGCAAAAGGTGAGTTTTTTCTGCAACTCAGTAATTTTCACAAAAGCTCCAGTTTGATCTCAGTTGGATCAAGTTGGTCACATACCCATCCTTAAGTCAATCTTTGTGACCACTGGGATTGGCCAGAACTGTGACATGTGTATACTCCTGTGTTTTGGAGATGGGACCATTCTTACATTTCCACTTGAACCATATGGACTGAAGATGGTGGACTTTGGCATCCAAAGAAGAATCAACAAGCTATCAGAATTGGAGGTAAGCTGGGATTGAGGAAGTTACTGGGCAGATAGACCCCATCACTATCTGGCCTACACACATATGTTCATATGGATGAGGTAACTTTCCTAGTGTATGATTCTCCAAAAGGAAAGAGCATGCTTTGTATTTTTTATCTCCTAAGGGTGAGTTAATCTACTCACTCAAATGTGACTAATTTGTCACATACAAGTAAAAATGCAACTTTAATTTTGATTGGAAACTTTTGTTATGGTTGGGAAAGGACACTATATAAATGTCCATTATATAAAATTTTTAGAACAAAGAAAAATTATTAAATTCATAATTCCAATTTTTGGTAAATAAAAGGAGGATATAAGGAAATACAAGCAGGGAGAGAAATACATAAAAGGAAACATCAATGGAGATTGAAAAGTTCTTTGGTTAGGGAGAGAGGACGCAGATTAGCAGTGGTAAATTATTCTTCTCAAAATTTAAATTTTATTTGAACTTCTGAGCTAGGTATTCCAATTATTTTTTTTTACATAAAATTTTTGGATCAGGATTAGTAAATATGGGACATTAAATTGCTATTTCCTCCTTTCTGAATGTATGGCAGGAATTGTTAATCTATCTTGGCACTCCTGGGGTGCCTGGGTGGCTCAGTTGGTTAAGTGGCCAACTCTTGATTTCAGCTCAGGTCATGATCCTGGGGTCCTGATATTGAACCTCATGTTGGGCCCTGTGCTCAGTGGGGAGTCTGCTTGAGGATTTTCTCTCTCCCTCTTCCTCTGCCCCTCCCCCACTCACATGCATGCTCTCTCTCTCTCTCTCTCAAATAAGATTTAAAAAAATCTTAAAAAAAATATATCTTGGCACTCCATTCCTCTGAGTTTGTATGTGGCCTTAGAATGTTATTAAGTAGTTACTCTAGATAGCCACCACCAAATAATCAGAGTTCAAATGCAAAATGAAACCTATTTGCTATCCTAGTCTGAGAAGCTCATTCTGCCCAGATATATAGGACTGTGGCCAGGGATACATTGGCAGAACGCAGAACAGTATTATTACCTTGAGAACTGGATAAAATAGACCTAGAGTTGGGTACAACCTGCAAATTGGGAATTCTTCGTTCATGAAATACAAAATTGTGACATACACCCTGAGCTATCTTGGAGCAGTTAAGACTATTCCACTTCAGGATTATGCCAGGAGGCCAATAGGATAGCCAGCATTTCTTGCCTTTTCCCACTGCAGATGAAGAGCATTCAACTGCCTGATTCTGGAAGCGATATAGTGGTCATTGGAATTTCCTGACTCTGAACTAAATGAACACTTTTTTTTTTTTAAGATTTTTATTTATTTGACACACACACACACACACACACAGAAAGAGAGAGCACAAGCAGGGGGAGTAGCAGAGGGAGAGGGAGAAGCAGGCTCCCCACTGAGCAGGAAGCCCCATGTGTAGCTCGATTCCAGGACTCCAAGACCATGACCTGAGCTGAAAGCAGATGCTTAAATGACTGAGCCACCCAGGCGCCCGAAAGTGAATGCTCTTAAGCTGATTAATTTGAAATCATAAGAAAGAGGATATTACCCAAATTTTTATTTTTTGGGGGTAAAAATATTGATTAAATTTTGTAGAAGTTTTCATTTGGAATTTCAAAAGCAGCCACAAAAGTAGAAGGTTGAATATTTTTTTTATTTTTTTTATTTATTTATTTATTTTAAAGATTTTATTTATTTGAGACAGAGAGAATGAGAGAGAGAGAGCACATGAGAGGGGGGAGGGTCAGAGGCAGAAGCAGGCTCCCTGCCGAGCAGGGAGCCCGATGCGGGACTCGATCCAGGGACTCCAGGATCATGACCTGAGCCGAAGGCAGTCGCTTAACCAACTCAGCCACCCAGGCGCCCTGAATATTTTTTTTTAAAGATTTTTTTTTTTTTGACAGAGAGAGAGACAGTGAGAGAGGGAACACAAGCAGGGGGAGTGGGAGGGGAGAAGCAGGCTTCCTGCCGAGCAGGGAGCCCAATGTGGGGCTGGATCCCAGGACCCTGAGATCATGACCTGAGCCAAAGGCAGACACTTAATGATTGAGCCACCCAGGCGCCCCAAAAGGTTGAATATTTTTTAATCAATATTTATTTAGTTGGAAAACAGAAAAATGACCACAGGAAGTCAGAATTACTTCAATGATAAAAAGAATGAAACTGCAAAATTACTAGAAGTACATAATGAGTCTTTGTTTTGTTATCTTCCTATCCATACTTAAATGTATTTTTCAGGAAAAAATATTTTTTCCTCAAGATTTGTACCAAGGATCATCAATACTCCATTTTCTCTAAATTATACTAATTAGATAATGTATCATATATGTTAATCAATTTTTCACTTACATAAAAATCCAATTACTTTACAGAAATTAATATAGAAAATAGAGCATGCCAGTGCTCTATTAAAGACATGATGAACAACAGATAGTATAAGAAACTTCCATCAAATTTTGCTGAGTATGTATAAGAATATATATATTTTTAAGTTATTTTCCCTAATGCTTAATGGTTTTTCATTTCTTAGCTGATTTTGGGAATTGGAAGTTAAAATGATCAAGTAGCTTTCAGGAGTATACCCTCTGTCATTTTCAGTGGTAGAAATACTAGGTAAATGACAAAACACAAAAATAGCTAATTGTTTATAACAATGATCAGAGGATAAGCTTCCACTAATATTGATGCTGGAAGGAGAGATAATCTTCCTTTAGCTTCCTTTTTATAAAACAAGTACTTGACTGAAGTGTTTGTATATAATAACATCTATTCAGAAACTAAAGATGACTACTAATACTAGAAAACTGGACCTGATAATTTTTCCTGTGTTGTATATGTTTTTGATTCTTTTTTCCTGTAGTTAAGTTCTTTGAGAATCATAATGTGTGATGTTCATAGAAATCTCCTATAGCCAGTGTCTGCAGAACTGAACCTATTCTCACACTATGCCTTCAGGTTGGGCTGATCCATGTACATATCATGTGTCCAATATACAGCAAAAATCCTGGACCTTTGCTCCTTTTCAGGATCCTGCTCAATTCTGTGCTTATCTGATTCCTAAAATTTTGGCTTCATGTCCTGTTCTTTTTCTTGCACCTCTTTACTTCTTTGTGTAACTCTTAGCACTCTGCTTAGACATGTTTTTTCCTAATTTGCTTTGAGGTCCCTTACTTCCAACTGTTTGATCGCCCAAGCCCAGAAGAGCCAACCGAGTTACTAATATGCTTGGCCTTAATCCTAAAGGGCCTGAATAAATCTCAGCAAGGTGTAAGCAAAGAGATTGCAGTTCCAGATTCTGACGGTTGTTTATCCTGGTTCCCTAGGCACTAACTTGATGAGGAAGACAAATGAGGCTCTCTTCTATACCTAGGGATATGAGTTTCTGAATAATGATTAAGACATATATTCCAGATGCCTCTGTCAGATACATAACCAGTATTATCAGATGCATTACTTCCTTTGAATATGAGATTATACAAATATTGTTGTAACTCAAGAGGACCTTGCTTGGAAAGAACTCAGAAGATGGAGTGATCTGGAACATGAACTAAGTATGGAGAATAAGTTAGGATGCATGGCCATAATGAAACTAAAATATTTTTAAAGGATCAGTGATAAATTTAGAGGCCAGAGGAAGAACCAAGAGTTTTGAGCCAAAGCTCAGGATTCAAGAACATTCAGCACTGAGCATGGAATGGGGTGTCACATTCTAGAAGCCTAGGCTAGCAATGTAAATTGCAGTTCATGGAGCTGAGAACAACTGTACAAGAGGCAAGATCTTGGAGGAAAATTAAAACAATAGTAGTTTATCCAGTTGAGTCTATTTATTTAATATTTATTTTTTCTTTTAATTGAAATATAGTTGGCACACAATGTTACATTAGTTTCAGGTATACAACATAGTGATTGGACAAGGCTATACATTATGCTAACACTCACCACAAGTGTTACTATCCAACTCTTTACAATATCATTGGTTATATTCCCTGTACCTTTCATCCCTGTGACTTATTCATTCCATAACTGAAAGCCTGTATCACCCACTCCCCTTCACTCATTTTGCCCATTCCTCTACTACCCTTCCTTCTGGCAACTGCCAGTTTGTTTTCTGTATTTATGGGTCCAACTGAATCTTAAATACAGAGAAGGGAGATTCAAAGAGAATAGAATAGGACAAATATTTGGGAAATGAGGTAAAATTTAGAGGATTTAATGTGCTGGTGGGTATATGATGGTCACCTGACTCTGAATTTATATACCAAAATGTTATAGATCACAAAAACCCCAATTACTTGAAACCCATGTTTTCTGCATAAATAAAGAAGATTATACAAATCTTAAACTCTTGTATATAAGTAAACAAATGCCTAAAAGTGCTACATCTTGCTTTGTAGCTCACCTACATGGAGAAGGTTGGGTGGAGACAGTGGAGGTCATAAAGAAAAGTGGATGGAGTTAAAGATTCTGATGGGAAGATGAAACATAAAACTATCCTCAGAAAAATAGTTTCACACTGAACAGAAAAAGACTGAAAGCAGTCTTTTAATCTGGTAAGTAAGAGCATTGGCTTACACAAAATTAAAAGACAAAGACAGTGAATATACCACTTCCAGGGTAGAAGGGGGAGGATAAAAGAGTCACCTCTTGGAGACTGTTTGGCCAAGGAAAACCAAGAAAAAGAGTAGGAAATCCAGTGTCCTGAAGAAACAAAAATGAATCACAAAGTCAGAAGCCACAACACCTTTTCTTCCTCACCCCTAAAGGGCTATTGACTAAAGAAATTGAAAATCACTATATCATCAGAAGTGTGTGCTTATGGGGCACCTGGGTGGCTCAGTTCATTAAGTGCCTGCTGTCAGCCCAGGTCATGATCCCAGGGTCCTAAGATCATGCCCTGAGTCAGGCTCCCTGCTCAGCAGGGAGTCTGCTTCTCCCTCTCCCCCTGTTCCTGCTCTCTCTCAAATAAATATTTTTTTTAAATTAAATAC